CTCTCAGATGTTCTGGTTAGGCCCTGCAGTGGATACTCTAGATTCCATGATGAGCATCGGGGTATCTGAAACATATGATCCCAGCTGGCAGGTTGGTCACTGGAGAGCAGAAGGCCATAGCCTGTCTAGAAGCTCTATGTTTCCTGATGAAAGAAGAGTGGTTCCAAGTGATGTTAGGATCATGGCTGCATCTGAGATGCTGCTAGATGCCAGCCGCCTGGCTTCAGAGCAGAGTGGGGTGTATGAAACTCTATATATTTGCTTCCAAGGATGAACCCCTTGAAGCGTCACCCCGTCACCCCGTCTCAAAAAGGAATAGCGCTGTGGTAAGTGGCTGTCCGTCACCCTCGCTTCTTTTTCCCATCCGCCATTCTTTCCTCTTGGCTGTGTCACCGTCACCCCTTCTTTTTCCCATCCGTCGTTTTTCTTGCACTTGGCACTGTTCCGTCCGCTGTCCGATGGCGCAAGCGTCACCCCGTCACCCTCGCTCGTTTAGGCTTTCGAGGCGTCACCCCCGCTTATCCGCAGGCGTCACCCCGTCACCCCAGCTCATTCAGCCTTTTTCCTGCAGCCGTCACCCCGTCACCCCAGCTCATTCAGGCTATTGTCTACAGGGCGTCACCCCGTCACCCTCGCTTATTTTGGCGTTTGACACATCAGTCCGTCGCCCTTGCATCTGCTGGCGTCTCCCTGTCGGCCTCCCTTGCCGTCTGCAGGCATCACTCCATCGCCCTCGCTTATTCAGGCTTTTGAGGCGCCGTCCAACCACTCCGTCACACTTCAGTCTGCAGCATCGCTATGTCCGCATCATTCTCTCAGGAATCGGCCTTCATTCTTCATGCTCTTCAAGTGCCACGCTGTCCATATCGCATCTCAGTTCATGTGTGCCTCACTGCACACCATGACTCACACAGGTGTTCATTGTGCACCATCATCGACCAAATCTGTGCCATTCTGTACATGGACAAGGCATTGGCGCATCAAGTGGAGCCGCTTGATCAAATTTTCACCAGCTGTCAAAACATCACCAGTCACATTTAGGAACCATACTTTATGATAATTGTTTCAAACTAGCGCAACGATACACAATGCTATGCCTGTTTATGTATTGACATACTTCCAGTCTCTGAGGGTCGTCCAGGACATCAACAGACCTACTATATCAACCACGCCTGCCTCGTTTTGGCGGCTTCGTCTTCTGAGGCAGGATCTCAGGCATCTTTTGTTGTTGTTGTTGTTGTTGTTGTTGTTGTTGTTGTAGATTGGGTGACATGGGCTCATGAGCACTGGGATCTCTTGGGACACTCACTGGAGGATGGAGGCACACGCCGATGTGGCAGGCAACGTGGCAGACGCTGCCACTATATGCGGTTGGCAGGGACTGTGCACGACGGAGTGGGGCAAGGCAGGGTTGAGTGGGGGTAAGTTGTGTGGGGTGGGAGTGTTTCGAAGCTTCGCCTCTTCTCGCTACCTATACCGGTCCTTTTTGAAAATGATCAAGGCGGTTCATGCTTTTTTTAAAATTAACTATTTCTCCACTCTATCACCAACGACTTTGACCTCCAAATCTAGATCACGATCTGTACTGGCGCCTTTCCTGGGACTGTCATTCGACTGCTACCCTTTAAAATCGCTACAGCAAGCTATAATGACATTGTGATGCATTGAAAATGTTAACTGGCATTCATTTTTAGCGCAACGAGGATGGTAAGTCGACGGCTCATTACTTTCATGCTCTGTGTATATAACGCAATACATCAAATGGTACCTTTTTCAGCTGTGGCATCGGCGCTTCTCCGATTGTTTGTGGTGCATCGGTGATGGTACCTGCAGGCAAGCGATTCTTTGAATCTTTGATTCCTGACACATGGCGGCCCCTCCACATACTAATCTGATACTGCCACTGCCAGCTCCAGCAGTTTTGGCCCACTTGTCACCGCTCTCAGCTGTCGCCAGCTTTATGCAACTTATGTTGGCCTCCTGCACTTTGTGCCACTTTCCCACTTTGTCTGCCACCAGTTTCCGAGTCCTTCACGTTCTGCTGTTGTCCTTCCACCTTCTGCACCTTCTGCCTCCCTCCCGCGCATCCTCTTCGCTTTACCACACGTCTAATTCACCCTTCTGCGCCTCAATCATACGTTTCTAGCCTCCTTTTGCATCTCTGTCCATCATCCCAGTTGTCACTGGTGTCACTATTCTGCGCTTGCTGCCATTTTCATGTGCATGCTGGCTGTGCCACCCAGCCTTACTGTTTAAGTTATAAATTCTGTGTAGAATACGTGTTCAAGTTTCTTCAAAAATTTTGTGGTTTGTGATGTTAACTGAGCATGCATCTCCGAACCAGTTCATAGTACTAGTAGGATGTGTATTCCAGTCGCTATCTAATTATAACAATGCACGCCTCCCTGGATCTGCACCGCTCTTACATTCTTTTTGAATACAACCCATGTATGTTATGCCTCGGCTTGAGATGCAGCAAGTTGGGCTCAGACATAATCTTAGTCGAATGCTCAGACAAGACATCACTAATCGACCTTCTGACTCCTCGAAACTTGCCCTCAATAACCGGCTTACATTTTTTGGACCACTGCTATGAGCAAATCTACGACCTACCAACGCCGCTGGCCTCTGTGTCACTGGTAGCATCGCCTAACCCAATACCACTTGGCCTGAGTTGGCAATTCGCAGAGATTGGCACGTAGCATGTCACTGCGTGGCACAAATGTACTGGAACGCTTCAAGATGCTATTGTAAACATGTGGCTACGTCATGCCTAGAATGTGTGCATTCCAATACACCCATTTTCTCTATACTAACAGTGCCACACCACTCTCCAATGATTCTGTCAGTCACACAAAATGGTGACTGTACTGGACTGATATATGTCCACAAGTACTTGACCGTCCTATCAGTAGCACAACATGATATCGATGACGCAGAAGTGTTCGTTCAAGATTCGCTCGTCTGCAGTAATCCCCTCGAACATTGTACTTCATATATACTTAGCCTTGTCAAGCAAACTGCCTTATTTCCACTCGCCATGTATCAAGTGTCTCCTAGAGAAATTAGGCGATGCAAGGCTTCACCAGACAATTCTTATGGGAGCTTCCTGTGTGGTCCCACGAACGCAGTCCCTAAGTAATTGTTATAATTGTCCGATGTATTTGTCTGGATTGTCCGTCGTGATCGTTCACTGGAATGATTCTTGCAATCCAAAATGGATGTCAGATGTGAGTCGTTGCAGCTCATGAATCTCAGTAAATCCTCATATATGTCTTTATAAAGTCTGTGATGGTCTTCACTTCCCTTCACGTGTCTACATCGTCCATCACCATTCCGACGTACGTGGCTGTGTCGTAGCCTACACGTTGCATAAAGTTTTGTCTTCGGTTTACTGTGTCCCCATCACCTACTAATGATTGAGCTCCAGGTGTCACATCTTTTGTCCATAATAGTGCAGCACTTGTTGATATATTCCTCGAGATATTCATGTGGACGCCCCTACCGGTGTGCAGTGTATGAAGTTTTAATACAGACGTCGTGTATTTGATCAATGTACGCTCCCAGTGCCAAAAGATATCAGTTTATTTGATATATCTCATTCCACAGGACAACACATCTGAATGTCCCACACGTCCGGAATACCTGCATGTCCGAGCTTACATACCAATCAGTCAAGCGCTGACAGAGGAACGAAAATGCGTGGTACAATCTTTTTTTTTTTCAGCAGGGTCGACGGCGTATGGATGGAATTTTGCTAAGCCTGTTTGAAACAAACAGATATCATTTGATCAAGGTATGCTCCCAGTGCTAAAAGATATCAGTTTATTTGATATATCTCATTCCACAGGACGACACATCTGAATGTCCCACACGTCCGGAATACCTGCATGTCCGAGCTTACATACCAATCAGTCAAGCGCTGACTGAGGAACGAAAATGCGTGGTACAATCTTTTTTTTTCAGCAGGGTCGACGGCGTATGAATGGAATTTTGCTAAGCCTGTTTGAAACAAACAGATATCATTTGATCAAGGTATGCTCCCAGTGCTAAAAGATATCAGTTTATTTGATATATCTCATTCCACAGGACGACACATCTGAATGTCCCACACGTCCGGAATACCTGCATGTCCGAGCTTACATACCAATCAGTCAAGCGCTGACTGAGGAACGAAAATGCGTGGTACAATCTTTTTTTTCAGCAGGGTCGACGGCGTATGAATGGAATTTTGCTAAGCCTGTTTGAAACAAACAGATATCCAAGTATAGATTTACTGTGCTTCCATGCATACGCGAACTGTAACCAAGAATTGAGGGTCTTGGCTGCATCGGATCAAAAGTGTGCACCCAGTAGATCACAAATGTGCTGCCCAGCAAAGTACGTAAAGCTCCACAGTTCATTCTACTCCACCATAGGGCGCAATGCGCCGATACATCAGCAACCTGTAGTGCCATCCGACATTCACGGGCTAGCCGTCGGGTGCCTGCAGTCCTGAACACAATTTCGGGACGCGATATTAATCCAAAGGTTACTGATCACTGCGTTCGATTCGCGCGTCCTTCCATTCCTCCGAAGATTAAACAGTATTTTTGAGCGTTAACATAACTGAATTCACCAGATACAGACAAGTGCGTGTCTTTATGTGGATAAACTCCGAGAAAGGGGACTCATGTCTCCTGCTAGTCTACCCTGCTTTGTCAAATATGATGACCAGAAAAGCCATTCGTGCTCAGGGAGCAACACATTGGGTTGTTTGAATCTCAGCACCTCGGTTCCCTAGAAGACTAGCTCTCAATGATGTGTCTTGACATTCTCATAAATGCTGCAATGCGGTTGTGAAAATTTCTTTACAATGGCACTATTTCATCGTCTCACATCCCTGCAGGTCCTGGTCAGCGTACCAGAAATCGCTTAAAACCTCGTCGGCACAATTAATCCACCCACCAACGTTACAACGCTAGATTTATCATTGAGATATCCTCTGCTTACTGATATCAATGTCCGATAGCCACACTTGTGACCATCCGGGATGCAGGATGGGCCCATACCCGACCAGCGAAATTGCCCGGAAGCACCGATATCGGTACCATTCCGTTCCTATTCCATTCATGATTGATGGTCACCAGTACATTGTGGGCCGGTCCGATGGCCGTTATGCCTGCCCACTCCCAGAGTGCGGCAAAATTTTCAAAAAGCGTGAAAACACTCAGGCGCACATCACTGCGGATCACAATAGGTCGGTTAGGATCAAGGTCTTTGGCACTCCTGAGTTTAGTGAGTAGCATAAGATATTGAGAGACAATCGAGTAGTACTGACCTCTGCCGTAGCGGCCCCGCCCATGATAGGTCAGCATGATCTCATCCTACTCTTTCACACGTTAACACCGATTGTCAGGCAATACATCTCCCCACATCTTAGTCTCAGAAACCCCTTCCAATCAGGCGATCGGAAGCAAAAGTGAGAGTCATCTAATGAATGAATCGGAAGTGTTCTACTGAAAGATGTCTTTGTCCCACATTTACAGGTCCTTCGTTTGATGCGGATGCTGTGAATGTACCGCTGTTGCCTTCAGTAGACTATTTGGAGTCCAATGAGGTTCTTGATGCACTTGGCCTGTGCATGCATAGCCGTCTAAAGGTCCTGCTCTGCTACTCGTGCCGGGTGGCATTGACCTCCGGTATGGTCGCAGGACACAGAAAAAACCACCACCATTCATATCAGGTACGTCCATCGCTTTCACAGTCCATCTCGACTTTGACACGAGCATGATACATTACTAGGTACCATCAGCAGCGCTGCAGGCCGTATTGGATTTTTGCTCGGAATATACCATCTATGAGAAGCGAGAGAACGTGAAGCTACCTACTGCAGGAGGACCGCCTGTCCAGCTTGTTGCAGATCCAAGCGACGGTTTTACATGTACAGCATCCCCTGACTGCTTTTATTCAGTCAAGGACCTATCAAGCATGCAGCGACATGGTCGAGAGAAACACGGCACCACTCGCTTGGTGGAGATTCGGTATCGACCTTGCCAAGTCCAACGTATCTTCACTGCAGTGCGCAACTCGTACTTTGAGATAGGCCAGAATGTTATTCCAGGTGCCAGACCAGACATCAGAACCACTCTTCAGGCCACGTTCCTACCTACACTCGACATAGCATTGGTCGTTCCAGCAGAAACAGAACGAGAGAGGACTCCTCTGACGCGCTTTATGGGCTGGGACAAATTCCTGGAAGAACTCCGGATGAATCCAACCCAGAGGCGAGCAGCAGAGCAAATCAAGAAAAAGCATACTGATGATGAGTCTGGCGGGATAATCACACGTCTCGCTGCTACCGTCCGAGACCACATGGCGAGGGCATCGACAATCTTGGATGGCCACCCTCATAGGTTAAGCTTATCAAAGCTCCTGTTGTATGGTGATTCAATACCACGAGACACGTGAGCGATCTCACAACACCCAAATAATGCCCGCGTTAACCAGTCATTATGCTCCCAGCGACACTCATTGGAGGCCCGTGTCAGATGACAACGTCGACTATCCAAACTTCATGGTCCAGCTTATGAGAGCAATCGTTCGAATTCACCTCGGATCCCCACTCGAGTTCTCATTTTCGCTCTCCACCGTGCAGACGACGTGTCTCGAAGAGCTTTTGGTTGTCCTCCGCAACGACAACACCTCTCCCCGCAGGCGGATGATCGCCTATCATAATCTGGCGTGGTCTTTGGTCGATACCGACCCGGATCTGTGCGTGGTCGATCGATGGGCAAACCCAATCAAGCGAGCCATCTGGCTCAGGGCGCTGCGTGCGGACGGAAACTTCTGTGAAGCATCCTTCCTTACCCCAGACCTCGCAAAGTTAAAATACTTTTGCAACATCACCTCGCTTCTGGAAGCACTGATGGACAAAGATGAGGATGCCGACGCGGTGCATTTCGACGATCATGAGTGAGCGTGCTTTCACATACATTCGCTTACACTCGTTGATGGATCGTTGCGTTTGAAGCCGCGTCATTCGCATTCACGAGCGGGTTCTACGCCTCGGTCGTACCACGACGTTTAACATAGTGTATGAGATGCAGCAGTATGCATCGTCTGTGGTATTCAATCAAACGAGAGAGCCAAACGTCTATGTCGATCCCGACGTGAAATCCATCACCATCGGCACCAACACCATGCATATGGACATGCTTCGGGATGGCATACAAAGGCTTCTCCTGGAGTTGAAATCGCGCTATTCCGCCCTCACCAATGACAATGTCGTGTTGAAGGAGGTTCCAGAGCAGGTCAAGGACGACCTCACAAATTCGACGCGTGGTTATTCGCTCGCGTCGGAGGAGCCCTTTTACAAGAAGCGCCATGCCTTGTTCTTGTATCTGGTAGATCACTACGACCTTGCAATGGTCGACAACGCAGGACGAGTCGCATGGAACATCCCCGGAATAAAGGAGCTTCTCAGACGCTCATTCCGGGTCTGGGAGCCTCTTTATCATTTGCTTTACATCACCACACACATCTCCTGTCGCGGCACACAGTTCATCGACCACAAAGTGAGCAATGCGGACAGGCATCGCAACCTGTTCATGCAGGGCAACGAGATGTTCCTGCTGACGGGCTACAGCAAAAAGACCGGCATCACCGATCGCGACTCATGCACTCCTGGGTTCGTGCCGAAGGAGGTCGCCTTTTGGGCCCTCGAACTTCTTGCAGGGGGGTTACGCACTGCTGAAGCCATACTTGCTGGGGTTGCATTTGGCCCGCAGGCTGAACATGTATACAGAACGTGAGCACCGTCCTGAACTATGTACACCACCGAACATCATTCTTACAACCGCATGCTATTTCAGCTATCTATGCGTCGGTGAGGGAGAGCGGATTAGTCCCACGATGTTTTCCGCCAACATCCAGCAGTGGAACAACGAATATTTCCAATGCCGATGGGGAGTGAGAGATTTCCGGCAAGGCGCGATCACCATGGGTCGCGAATTCATCGCCCCAGACGAATCTTATGATCAAGCTGACAACATCCTCGCAGAGTCTGCTGATCACTCCACTGGAATGGACCATAGCCACTACGCCGTCATCCAGGGAGTAGTCCCTCGACTGTCAAACAATAGCATGTGCAAGCACAGATGGCTGGGGGATCAGTGGCACAGCGTTCTTGGTCTCGGTCCATTTCCTCCTCCAGAGGCGATTAGAATCAGTCGTAAGAACTTGTCCAATGGGACATCCGTCCGGTCCATATCTGACCATGTCAAGAAAATCATGGAAGAGACTCTGAGATCGTTTTTTGACCTTAACTATTCAGAAATCCAGAAGGCCGCGGTCAGCATCGCCGTCATCAAACAACGCGAATATGCACTGCAGCCCACGTCGGAAATTCCATCCCTGCCACCCAGTAACTGGAATGGCCGCCCAATAAGCTTGGATAGTAATCTGGATGACTTGTTTTATAATGAGTGCGGGAGTGAGTTCGGTACAGCCTTAATTGTATCCCCAGCGAGACCTTATTGTATTTTCCAGGTATTCTTCCTGCTCCCGCCCAATCCTCAGGCACCAGTGGGTATAATCAGACCAGAAGTGAGTCTGACCATCAATGTTGTCCGATTCCCAACCTGATTTAATTCTGCAGGTATGACGTCCGTCGTAGCTTTGTCACCAACCGCAAGTGGGTATATTCAATGCGGATCTATGCTATCGGACTCCCCACTACCAGCGTCATCCGTTGAAAGCTTCTCGCGGAGTGAATACATGGACGGCTTGCTACCATTACCTGACATCTTTCCACCCGGTGATCAGCCCGAATCAATCCCCGTCCAAGATTTAAAAGGGAAGGGTAGAGCATATGAACAAGGCCAGCGTAGACCGTCAAATAGTAGGGCATATGAGCCAGGCCACCCTGGGTCGTCCTCCTCCGCAGTCCGTGGTCCCACAAGGAATGGAAAGCGCCAGTACTCCGTCACATCCACGACCACTGCCGCTCCGGTCGCACCGACTGCATTCCGTGTGCGCAAGCATGCACTACAGGACGTACTGGAATCAGACGAGGAACTAACCAGGAGTCCTAAACGTATTCGTAGAGTGTCTGTGGAGGTCATGAGAGTCTCCAGCACTAGCGACTTGTCGAGTCTCGACAATCCGCAACTAAAACGTCTGCGTGCTCCCAGCACGACGGTGAACAAGGCTCCTATGGAGATTATAACTCTCCCGAGCGATGATGACGAGTCAAGTCCGGATGAAAACATTCCGATCAAATATCGTCGTAGGACCAGACCTTTTCGTCACGTCGACAGCATGTCAAGTTTTGCAGCTGCTGGTGGCAGTCAACCATCCTCACCCCCAAGCGCCGTTCGAGACATCAGGGAAGAGATTCGACGCGCCATCAGACACATCAGGAAGGATGACGCCGCGAGGGAAAAGAGCACTGCGCAGATGAACGTCCTGATTGCCGTCATGACTGCAGATACGGACCTCGTCGTCACTGATGAAGACAGGAGGCGGAAAAAGCATGTCGTGGATGGTCCCCTCGGTAATGGACGAGGAAGCGAGATCTATTGTCGTGTGCCCCTTCGTCGCCTTGCTCAATGAGCAGTACAAGAACACCGCTGCAAGTGGATTGCGGTGTCACAACTACTGTATCTCCAAGACGGTGCCGGAAAACGTTCAGATTCTATTCGTGCAGGTGGAACATTGCTCTTCTCACGCATTTGCCAAGTGAGGAGACTCGTCTATCACGCGGAATTGGCTAATCGCACATTGACAGTTTCCTTGTGTCTCCACTGGGGCGGAAGTTCAACAGGGCCTTCGTAGACGAATTTCATGATATCTTGAACTGTCATCCAGCTCGGCTTCTTCCGTGGAAAAATCTTGCGCAGAAATTCAGCAAGATGAGCATCAAGATTGTTCTTATGACAGGGAGCGGACCACCATGCCGTATTGCGAACTTGATCAACCCCTTTGGCATGAAGCGAAACTTGATAACCGAAATCCGGTCATCGACAAACCGTCCAGAGATTGGCATGCACGTCGTACACCTCCATCCCATCGCAGCAAAGCAGTCCCTAGTCCACCTCGTTGCCGCTCTATCCAAACGCCTGGCAGCGGAGGAACGCATCCTGGTGTTCTGCGGCTCTCAAGGTGATGCAGAAGGGTTCGCGCTGCAGGCAAAATGTGCTGTCTATCACAGCGACCTCTGGGAGGCTGGAAATACTAGGGAGTCTAATCTGAATCGGTGGGATTCGGGCGAGACAAAGGTCATGGCGTGTACAACAGCCTTCGCACAGGGTATGGACAGGCCGCACGTGCGATATGTGGTGATATTCAAGCCATCATATGGGCTCATTGTCAACAACCAGATGCTGGGCCGCGCGGGTCGCGATGGGAAGGAGTCTCACGTGTTCTTCCTTACTGATCGTGGTAAGAAGGCGTCCAGGGGCCCCTCGACCGACCGGTGCATGGGGGAGTTGGACGAGCTAGTGTATGGAACACAGTGCAGGCGCTTTACCAACATGCTGTGCATGGATGGCGAAAATCTCGCTGTTAGATGCCCAGACGATCCATCAGGGATCTATTGCGACGTGTGTGACCCAGAAAGCGTCATGCAGCGACTAGCCATGGAAGCCATCGAAAGCCCGTTGAGGCCACTTGAGATGCCGAAGGGCATAGGTCCGCCAGTTTCTGGCGGCTCCTCCCTTCAAGGACCTATACACGATGTGCATTCAATGACCGCGGTAGTTGTGCCAGCATCCACGCTACCTCAAACTGAGATAGTGGTGAGTCTTTCTGTCGTCCCCATGATCACATCTTGTGTTCATACGTTAATTCCACAGGCCCAAACTCCCTCAGAACTGACGACTCAGTCCAGTGATGCTCTGTACGACCAGGATGCATCAGAGCTCACATCGTTTGAGGTGCTGATGCTGAATGCCATGGAGGACATCCACGGGCCGGTGAGTTGGTATCACGTGATATATTGTCCAGAGGCTGATACTGCACGTTTCCTAGAGTGCTATTGGATCAGCGACCGGGCCACACATGGTATGACTGTATTTCGCTCCCATGCGACTACACTGATTTATTTCGACAGACCACATCACAACCATATGCGGGAAGCACCTTACAGGTGCATTTGTCGCCTACTGCTTCTCTTCCAAGTAGTTCTCGCAGCTTCGTAGCAAGAGCGAGTTTTGTTAACACCGCACTCGCCAGTCGTCTTTCACGCAGCGCCCGCTTGGACAAGTATATGCGGGCCTTGAAAGACAAGTGCCCAGCTCATTTTGGGAATGGTGCTGTGTCTGCTCCTGCGGCCAACCACATGTGCACTACGGAGTCTGGCCTTCCGATGCATTTGTATGGTATGTTCAAACTCCGTTTCTCGTTTGCACGCTACACGTATTGCTTTCAATGCTGCTTGCCTCAATCGCGAAACGGAAACGGAGAGGAACCAGCATGCCATGCTTCATTTACGTACAGGAAGGGCGAAAAATGTCCATTCGCTGGCATTATTTTCAAGGCGGTATTCTGCATGTGGCACAACGAAGGATTCCGTCAGTTAATGATCAAGGAGATGGGGGGAGGAGCATCGCTCGTGCTCTACGATCAATTCTTAGCTTGGATAGTCCAGGACTCTTCCGACCCAGGTAGGTATAACAATCTTGTAGAGGTATTCCTTTGGTTCTGCAGCGGGGTTGAGAAAGTCAATCCCAAGTTCTTCGATTGATGCAGAAAGACGAAGTCAGGCGCAGACGTAAGTCTGACTTTGTTTATCGGAGTATAATCAGATCTGAACCATCGACAGGATATTGTGCTTATTATGCTAGATTTGCAGACATGTTTCCGAAAATCTTAGATGCCACGTCCATGTCGCCAGCATTCAATTTTATTTGTGAACTATAATCTACACGTCCTGTTGCGGAGACGAAGATGATTTCACATGCACGCTTTGATACGGAGAATGATTATGCGTGATGTATTCTTTAAAATGACACAATTTTCGTGCTACTCAATGAAAGACGTTCTGAGTGAGCCATCTAACGACGGGAAAGACAGCCCATGAGGTGGAATATAAGGAAACGCTCCATCTCCTTCGATTCCTCTTTCATTTTTGGCGTGAGTGCACGTCCGCGGCCATTGATGGTACTTGCATCGATCTCCCCTGCCGGCGGTATATCATTGGTGTCCATTTCATCATCCCTGAGACTCTCCATTGAAAGAGATGACCTTGCATCATAATCGAGCTCCTGCTTTATCACAGTTTCGTTTGAAGGATCCTCCTGCTTGATATATCTGGAACCCATATCGCAATCCTTGGTTGCTTGAGCGTCATCTGGACCACAATGCTAGCAGCTCACCACCATTCCCCCAGCTCCATCATCCTGTCTCTTTACCACTGCCGACAATTCCATTGTGGAAGCACGGACAAAAGCTTCCTCCACTAGGATTGTGCTGGTCACCATATCATCGTCCTGGTACTACATCAGCGCTGTCCGAAACAAACATGTACTCCAACTTACCGATCTTTCCTCGGGAAGGTTCCTGTATGCACCGCTTCTAGTTCCGCGGGAGACAGCACCGAAGGGTAGAGGTCGTTCCGAAACGTTTTGAGCATCGCGCCTTGTTGTATTCTGGTAAGTGCATTTGGTTACCTAGTGCAGTATTGATCTTCACAACGACACACAATTTCACTCACTTTTTTCTTTGGGATTGCACGTGCGATGATTTCCCTCTTTATTTCAGCGCGTTGAGTCATCGAACGTGTGAGGACCGGCATTATTGAGGATGGATCACAGAGAGGCTGCTCGTGATGGATGAGTGATGGATGAGGAACAGTTATGGACACGTCATGCGTGATGAATTGATACACGTGTGACATGTCACAAATTCCGGACCTTGTTGTAATCAACTCCGATTTACGAGATTCAATGTGCCCTGGTGGATATAAAGTATTTAGTGAAGCAATTTGACATGGGCGAGATTGAAAGACCCTCCAGCCAGCATCGTCCTGCGTGGCTTTTATGGATCATGAAGCAGGAGAACACCCCATGTCAATGTTTGCTTCCCTGATTTGTGTTGGACAGACGGCAATCATATGAGATGGCCATCCATCCAGCATGTTAATGATGCCATGGGCAACGCATCTCTACAATGGGCGAATTTCAGCACACGCGGTCCCTCATTGGAGCAAGTATTACCAGAAATTCAACTGCGCTATGTAATGTTGGACGGTAGCATGTGACTGACAAAGATGTCAATTTCAAATGAGACTCGCGTCATTACCTGAACTCTAAGTTCACCCGCCACCACGACGGTCCCCAGAATGAACTGAATCGCAGACTAAATGCGAAATTCACCTCTTTTACCCTGGCGGTCCCAAACTGGACCAGTGTGACTGCCTGAACTGCAAGTTGATCATACACAATGGCAAATCATCCAGCAGACACCCGAAATCTCTTATGTTATGCCTGGACGTGTCTCCCAAAGGCATCCATCACCTCCATTGGTGATGAACCTTTCCTTGCAGGCAAGCAGAAACCAGACATTCGTCAGACCACTCCAATAACTGGCTCTCAACAGATCATTCCCTTCGCATCCAGCAGACAACAGACATCTGCTGTATCACCCATATATTTTCCTCCGAATGGGAGTTTTCACCTTCATAGGGCATTGTCAACCCCATGGGACATGATGCGCTGCCTTTGCAGCCAGCAGAAACAAGACATTTGTTATATAACTCCCGCCATGCGTCACCCAGTCGGACCAACATCCTCACCAGTGGGGTCAACCTCACCGGTTGTCGATGCGCTGTCTTTTCAGCCAGCAGAAGCCTGTATCTGAGGTGGATCTCCAAATAGGAGCCGTCACCTATATAGGGTATAGTAAAACTCACGGGCTGCCATGCGCTGCCTTCGCAGCAATCAAAAACCAGACATTTGCTATATCACTCCCATCATGGGCCGCACAATTGGTGCCATCACCATCACCAGTGAGTTCAACCTCACCGGCTGTCCATGTGTTGTATTTGCAGCCAGGAGAAGCAGATATCACGCATCACCCCAAGATGCATGTACAAATGGGAGCTGTCACATTCATAGGGTATATTAATACTCAAGGGATGTCATGCGCTGCCTTCGCAGCAATCAAAAACCAGACATTTTGTTATATCACTCCCAATATGAGTCGCCAAATTGGAGCCATCACCCTCAGCAGTGAGTTCAACCTCACCGGCCGTCAATGCGTGATCGTTGCAGCTAGCAGAAGCCTGATATCTGCCGCATCGCCGCTTACAATACCAGTTTCAGACTTCTAGTAGTATTAATACCATGCTATTAACGAAGATGCATATCATTGTGCGGGCCCTTTGTCCGAGCCATGGTTACAGTGCAATCATATTCAGGGTTCTGGTCACCGTCATCGTCATCGTACTTGGCGTATGCGTTCTCGATGCTTGTCCGTGACAAGCAACGATGCCGTTCTGGGTGATTCTCTTAGACTGATCCCCTCATGATACGTCAAGTGAAAGACTCACTATTCTCAGGTATAGAAAGCTTCACCTGTTCCTCCGCCAATTCCCAAACCAACATGTCACCCTGACCTAGCTGAGCCCAGTATGTCAGATCGATGGGCAATAGAACGATCCGACGATCGAGGATTTCATGTTTGCGCATGAACCTCTCTACCCTATTGTGCGGATCTCGCACGCGAAAAGCCAGTATTTGTAGGCGTGCGTTACCAATGAGACGAATCACCGCAACTGGATCGGATTTGCCTAATATGAGCACCGTACAGAGGTGCGTCAGCGCACTAAGAGCCTCTAATCCTGCATTTGGTTTGTCGAGCATGCGATCGTTGCAGATGTCGAGATGGGTCAGGTTTTTGAACACGTTTATCGTGCTCGTTGATGATGTGGAGTCTATTTCCATGTCGAGCACTAGCGACTTGAGTGGGAGGGCATCGAGGGCAAGCCACAGAGGTGATCCATCTGTAGCGAATTCTGTTGTCGAAAGCGCTAGACCAAGGCAAGTGACACGATTGCAGAGCGAAAGGAGTTTGATCAAAGTCGATTTTTGTATCGAACCGACTAGAAATAAAGATCTGATGTGTTGTTGGGCGAATTGAACGTGCATGGGACGCAGGCGGAGACAATCCAGAAATTTCTTGACTGTATGTTCATCATCCAGAACTATCTTTTTATACATTAATCTTTCCATCCTGCCGCATTATTAAGTTAGTAGAAGTCCATCTGTGCATTTTCGGGTGAAATCGGCACCATGGATATGTCCGCGTTGACACTCTCAGGTTTTCTGCGGCAGTGTGTCTGTCACGCGTGGCAAGCGCTAAAATTGTTTGCTGGATCTCCAGTGGAAGTTCAGGAGGCATGGCTAGAAACGAATGAGATGTCGTGGTGACTCCTGCACGCTAATCAAACAGTGTGAAAACAGGACACGTTAAAAAAAATTACATACATGATTGATCACGCTATCCGAGCACAGCCTTAGTCACGCGTGGCCATTTTGAAGCCAGAATATAGAAACGTGCGAGGTATGCATACCTCCCTCATATTCAGAGCCTCAGAACATGTAGTGCACGAAAATGAGAATAATTTAAAGTGACGGGGCAGTCTGTGCAATGTCATCGTATGTTTTTTTTTCACACTAACATAATGAAAACATATCTGCACATATTAGCGCATATGTTCCTCGCCCTTTAAGAATATGCTCGATTCGTGTCAATTATGAAATCATTGCACAATGGTATGGTAGTACACATGGTATGTATCCTGCAACGGTATTGCGAAAGTGGGATAAAAAGTGGGACGGTGATACTTGTGTTGGTCTAGTGTCAAAGACCCATAGTAGACGCAGAACTCTTGCGTCGTGCCATTCGACTTCATGTTCCTGAGTCGAATAGTGAGAAGCGCCACCATCCGAGAAATTATGACCGACTTGCCGACCATTCATTGTAGCACTCTGAGCACCTCCTCATCAATAGACATGAATATATGCCCCGTGAAAATGAAATTATGACATACCGCAGCTGCGGGCGCTGCTACATCTGCATGAACGTCGTGGTTGAAGACAGGGCTGGGTGGTCCAGCTCTATCAGGGACCAATCAACAATCAGCGACTAAAAAACGAGTACACACCGCTGTATGTTCTGATAGACTAGCTGCTCTTGATTCCGCCGTCCTAGACCTTGCTTTGAAAGTCGACCGGTTGTCATTGAAGTGCAGATCAGAAGCTGTCGAATCCCAGGTCCAACTCCGTCAGTAAAATTGATGCAGAAGGCAATGAAAGTAGTCCGGGAAAACACGTTCAATGTGAGACTAAATTATTGTGAGTATATGCGCCACTCGTAGTGCACGTCCGTGCCGCACATGATCTTTCGATATCCTGCTATGTCGCAGCAATGGTCTTGGATCCCTCGTCTACGCCAGAGGCAACGTTGTTGTGCAAATTGATGGGAGTTCTGCAGCTGCAGACAGTCTGTCGTACCCGTCATCATTGTGAGACAAGACGATGAGTGCCCACGGAGGAACTTGGCGATTTTTTTTCCAAGGCAAGTCTGTGTTATAATTTGGGAGAATTGCGCGATTTTCTTAAAATAATGGCTACCATTATGTACCCTCAAAGTGCAGTGTACGAGCATCTCCGGTAAGGTCCGGTTTTCACTGGGTGTCGCCGTGTGTTGCACACCTATGCATATCTACGAACGCGGTTAGTAAATTGAATAGAGACTCTGCACAGCGATGATAAATACCCTACAAATTTTCCTCAGTGAATTCATGTTGCTTAAGGTGCTATATGAAACACACAACTTTACTCCATGCACAGGACTATTTGTTGTATTATCCCTCTTGACGAATAATATATTGAACAAATGATGACCGTGTACTTGAGATCGGAATACGCGGTGGTGATAGTCAGGTTCATGGATTGTAGAAAGCTGACATACATGAACACGTTCGGTTGGTGAGTCGAAACTTGACAGGTTTGGACAAAAATCCAGGAAGAGGTTCATGATGTGGTCTTTGCACATCATGATCTTCCAGAAAGACTGAACAAGCAAGTTCTGCGATATACAGACAAATTACCAATCTAGGTCTTCCTTGAACATAGACAAATTAATATTCAGGTAACATTTCACCGTAAACGCAACCGATGTATATGATTTTGTATGAGTTGCCCGTTGAAAAATTTGCCTAATTAACGGGGGACCCTTCTGATGTAGATCTATACCCTCCTTCTGTAGGGTAATTGTACGATCCGCCCGTCTTGCATATTTATGTTAGACCTCCTCATTAATTCCTATTATAGCTCTATCCACTTGAGGGAGCGAAATAAATATCCTCTCAGAAGGTCTGTGCCATACAAGCACAACAACGTTATTTTTTTGAGTGGATAACTTCGTCAAATAAATCATGATTTTTATTCCTGGTCTTAAACATTTCCTGGGATGCTGCAATTCCATCGCGCCATCGAATTACAAGGCATGCGTCGCGATGACTTTCTTTCCCAGCGCGTCCACACCCTGCACTCGTACATTTTGGAGTCGTACCAATCTATTCGCCTCTATGTGCCGTTAGTTGCAACATCATGCGTAAATTTTATTGCCCTTGTTCCATTGTGATCCAATTGGGTTTCGACCGCATGTGAACCCATTTTTCATCCCGTCTGTAAGGAGTTAGGCTCACAACAGGGCTCGCTCCAATCTGTACCTCCGAGAGCGGAGTCATCGTATATTTGTCTTTCTGACGACCCTTATTTCAATTTTTGCACCAACTGTGTGTCGCATTGTTTTTTGGCTCTCAATATCGATGTCGCTACGGTACAGCCCGTCATATCTCTTTTGACATTAAACCATCATATCTACTTTCCTATCTATGCCATCAGCAAGTATTCTGTCTGTATCTCCAATCCCTAACGACTCGACGTCGTGTTCGCGTGCACGGAACTTTCTGTTTAATGCATTCCTCCATGAATCTCCCAATGCAAAAATTGGACTTGGAGATACCATCCAGGTCGTCAGCAGTCCCGACCCATCTAGCAGTCACCAGTCGGCTTCATTCAATATTAAACAACGCAAAGTACACCTTCTATTGCACTGTCACTTCTATCTACGGGTATTCCCCCACCCATGTTGCGTTCACACTTCACCGCATCGCTACCAAGTTTCCACAAATCCTTTACGTGCCCACCGCTGTTGCACGCCTCACCATTGTCCAGCGAGCCTTGGGAGTGCTGATTACACTCCCAAGACGTCGTCGTGTTGCACGTCACGCAATCGTCACTCTACGCCAAGTGAAGCCAGTGTCCTCCACTGGTCGTAAGATGCAGGTCGCAAAGGACGGACAAAAGATGATTTTTGTGTAGTCATTCAGAGGTGTGTTGTTGTTGTTCCATTTAGTAGTCACACAGTTCTGACCTCATGTGCGGACAGTTGTCCATTCATGGCATCATGTGAATCTCCCGAGCACACGGAAGACCCATTCCCCCACATTCCCTTACATCGGATCAATGTTGACATTTAAATGTGCTACCTACGTTCATTTTTTCATCTGTTTTTCTGGTCGCATCCGAGACTGCTCGACAGTTATTGCATCCATTTTAATCGTTCACTGTACAGCTATCTGTCTCCTGTATAAATCATTCTTGATGCGAATGCTCCAATATTTTTCTGGTCGTCTTATCTAAGAAGGGATCTATGGCTATTGAACGTGAGGCGTGGGGATCCAGCAGAACCCCCCCTCACAATGTGTATGAGTCGAATTAAAATGGTACCTGACGTGAAACAAATGTATCTCAAATTCTATCACCTAATGCGGGTTCCAGACCAAGCGCGATCGTTGCCAAGCTCTTACGTGAAATTCAAATACATTTTGTAGCACATCACATATTACCTGACTCACGTTGGTGAACCGATCATGCTCGATGTTCGGGGATCGTGTTGATATATGTGGAAGTTCTCAGCGTAGCAAATCAGTGAGATACGTAAACACACTCATTTCCTTATTGGCGTAGACTACCATATGTGATTAGCACCGCAATCATCATCTTTCTCACAAACATGCAAAATATTCAGGTTCAGCACTGTACTGGCAAGGCTGGATAAATCAGACATTCGGACCCCGTGCATTATTGGATAATCATACCAAAGTCGCAGCAGGAAGTAATCCCGTCGCGTTATCATGGATGTCGGGTTTCTCGACATATTTTTAAGTGGTGGATGCCTCGCCCTGATCTTGGACCACCGGGCCTTCCTCAGCCGCTTCAATTGGAGGAGGTCCTGCAAGCAGGAGGTTACGAGGCATGGACCATACCCCTAATGTCGAGCTCCCATCACTCACTATAACACGAGGCGACCTCACACAGGGAGTTTTATTAGCTGCGGCTGACAAGCCTGACGTTGGGTTCAGAGGCTTTGAACACTTTCTATCGCCTGTCCCGTCGCGAACCTAGTAGGAAATAGTAGTGAGATTGATGCCCGCCTTGTAGAGAAAAAGTAGTAGTAGTACCGCTGGGGGAGACGGATCCAGCGAGTCCATCCGCCTCCTTTTCCGTTCTCTATCCGCTTCTGACCCGGCACGCACAGCGGCTGTCTTCGCAGTATACACGTTGTCGGATACGGATTCATCACGATCGCCCGTATGCGTCGATTCGTTCGAGCCGTCAGGTTCTGAAAGGCAGTGACAACACCCACATTATTATTCGTAGGTCTCGTAAGTCCCCTGTTCCAATGTGGGGGTATTGGGATGGGCAACATCGTGGGTGGCAGGGGGTCCAGGGACTGTGTGTTTGGTTTCGAATCAGACAGTGTGTTAGTTCCTTTGACGGCCCTCCCCAGTACATGTGCGAGATGGTTCAGATGATCAGGGCTCTCCTCCATGTTTACTAATGCTGCATATAGGCGTTCTATGCCTAGCGCCTCCAAGTAGTCATCCTCTGTCAGGTGGCTGTACTCATCTGGTGATTGTGGGATGAGCTGTCCGCCGAGGTACGCATTCAGTGGAATTCCAACGAGGATGCGATATCGTTCTATCATCCAGGAAACCAGGTTTGTGCTGACGAGAAGTGCATCGCCTTCTACCAAGCCTCTTCCCATCAAATCCTTCCTGTGGGCTTGAGCCTCATAAAATAGTTGGAGCGGCTCCGAGACATCCTTCACTCATGGGTGAGATGTTTCTGTCAACGTAGATGGTCCTGAAACTCACACTGTGCCTTATGAGGCTCTTCCCAGCATCAACATGTGTTCCTTCTGCCATCTCGACGGTCGCCTGCTGATTTTTCCTCGAGCGACCTCTTTTCTGAGCTCGTACATTCCCTACGTGGTTTGCTGGTGCTTTTCGCGTATCTCCGGCTACATGCACAATTTCTGAAGTGTTACCGTGCAGATTACGACTTGGTGTGATCTCTGCGGGATCCTATATGGTCCGACATCCATTGACCTCGTCATGACATTACGTGTGACATTTTTTAATTACTCACCCCCGGTGCATTATGAATGCGCTCCTTAAACTTTCCCTTTTGTGCGCGTTTTCTGTCTTTTTTTGCTTGTAGGCTGAGCAGCCTCTTTCTTCGCCGTCCATGAAGCCTCCCTATCTTTGATAAATCTGTTGATCATATCCAACGACCGCGGCCCGTGGTCGATATCTGGGTAACATTCCAGACCACACATATTCTCGTCCTTGCCACAAATCAAATCATGATACGCCTTTTCCTTCTCATTGACTGATGTAATGGATGGTAAGTGATGTGATGGACAGCCGACTGGCACTCTGCTCACGCTTCAGGACGTCAGTCACCTCCACGCGCTCCACGAAGTGATTCCATGTGACATTGAACTTCTTTTGCACCTTCTGCACATTCCTGTCGGTGAACATCCCACCTGTCAGTACCATTGCCATGTGGAACTCCAAGCGAGCCGAACGAAATTTGGGTTTATATCCTTCACCCTCCCATTCCTCTTTGAATGCGTATATGACGTCTCTCAGGTACGCAGCAACGCTCACATACAGCTGTAGATCTCCCTCGTCCATCCGATTCTCCTTCACGATTGGTGCACCATTTGTTATTATCTGCACGTATACGTTGTGTTGGTGCATGAGTATCAGTAATGGATGAGCACAGTTAGGGGGGACGACCCGCTACATATATATCGTCAGCATCTGCAGTGGTTGAGGCGGGATTGCTAACACTTGGGCCGTTTACCTCCCACTGCACAGTTAGTTGTCGCTTGTTCAGTTGATGCCTGATGCCCTCCAACGAACAGACCATCTTGCATACTTCGTCAGATCTTGGGGTCCTCGAAATCAGAATCGGTCTTGACATCGGATATTTATGTGTGGACATGATCGTGCAGTGTGATCGTGAGAGTGCGGCTTAAATGCGGAAGTTGGAATCCTGAGGGCTGAGTCTGTGGTCTTTAAATTGATGGTTTAAAACCCTTCTCCGCTTCCGGTATTTTCCGGTCGGATGCTGAGTTTTTTGAACTCAAATCACACATGTCCTTTATGCGAACTTAGGTGTTGTGTTTGACGATTTCATGCTGTTGTGGCGACACGTTGTCGAAATTCAGAACTTGACATCTGGTTGTACTACGCTGACTCGGTGATTCGCAGATACCATGTGTGATATCATGTGTAAACTTGGAAAATGTTGACGCTATCTCGTCAGTGTCATACCAACATGCTCCATATGATGCCCTGAATCTAATGTGCCGTTGATCATGAATGACTCCAACATCTATTTTGTTGTCCAGGGCCCCAGCAGCGGTGATGGTGGAGTTGGAGAGCATCAGATGCGGAATGACAACTAACAGTCCAATATATGTGAATTCTTGTTCATCATTTACGTGGCTCACCACAATGTGAGCACTCTTCCAACCTGCGCAGATACCGGAGGATCTAACTCAATTGCATCATGGCTATAGAACAACCTCGCCACCTGGATTCTCATCCCACTGTCCTCACATCTGGACAGTTGCACCATTCGTGAGAAGGGAAAAAACAATCACAAAACAGACTAGTCGACAGAGAAAGAAGTTGAGTCCCATTCAGGAGACTCGTGGCGAGGGCGCTTGCTAGGCCCCTTTGAATCATCCATCTTGTCAAGTCGCTGGTGATACTCAGCTGCATCCCAGATACCATCCATGAACTCTTCGAGCAAGCAGTTCCTCTTCCTGTGAAATCGCTCTTCACGATGCCGGGCGTGCATTGTATCGAGTTCTCTCCTATTACGTGTCATGAGATACAATAACTTTGAACATACAATCATATACCTCTGCATGTCAAAGAGTGTATCCTCGATTGAGTGCTTCGGTGTGATTTTATGAATGTTATCGTGAGACAGTAACGATGGCATCGGAGCTATCTTCCTAATTGGAGTCGGAGAAGACGTCACAGGATGAATGGACGAATTGTTTTCTTTTTCGTCCACAAACTCGACAAAGGGTGGGGCTGCAAGGGGAGCAGTGCCCACAAGGTTGAGATTCAGCGCATCTTGGAGAGTTCGGATCTGGCTGACTTGTGAAGCTGTGAAAATGATGTTGTCCTTGTCATCACCCGGAGGCTGCATATGGATGGTCTTGTTGGCATGCGAGCCAACTCCAGTCGTAACCACAATTGGGGCGACATTCGGCTGAGCTGCAAAAATCCGGTGAAGCTCTGCGAAAAACGGAAAATCGGTTTGGATTTCCTCTAGGACACCATGAGTTGTGCTGCACTCGTAATAAAACAAACATACCCCATAAACGGTTCGCTTCCTCGGAGGTAGTAACATCAGGGCCATTCGCACCGATGTAGAATCGGCACATCTTGTCAGATGGATCACCATCGGCACTGTCCTGGCTCTCATGGAGACCTTTGCCCGTTATCCGACGCTTTGCAGCATGTTTTATATATTTTTTCGTGAGGCTAAATATGTATATGAGTATTGCGGGAAATAATGTGGTAGCAAGCGACTTGACTACTCAAGTTTGCCTTTCACACGGTCTCCGGTTGCTTTAGGACTGATCTCATGGAATTCTGGCAAAACAGCCGCCCCAATCCGCTTGTATACAGTGGCCTTCGTCTCGCCCAAGATTTTCTGATGCGATTCGTCAAGTTAATGGCGCTAAAACTCGTAATATACTTAGTACTACTCACCTCGTGTTTGTCCTTCTTTCCAAACAACATCTCGTAATTCGCTCTTTGACCGAGTTCTGTGATGAGTTTCCACACTCTCGAGTTGTTATTCTCGCTCCATGGAATTTGTGACAGCGAGACCTTGGGCTTCTTGCATTTGCCACCCATGTACACATACAAGATCGGATGATAAATGATGAGTTACCGTAGTACCATCAATGTAGTGCTCGATATGGTATATGATTTATTGTGAACTATTTTGTGCAAGTTGTAAAATAATTTGTTTCGGACGACGGCGGAAGCGGGCAGTGGCCTACTCTGAGCTCTCCTATTAAATAATACATAATTACATATATCTCGTTCATCACTTGTAGTCTTGGGTACTTGCAAAATGACACCGTGGGACGGTCACATGATTGTTTTACTTCGTTTTATTAGCTTGCAGCAAGCGCCACTAGATCTCATCCATTCTAGTCATGCCTCCTGCCCTTCCGCTCGAGATCCAGCAGAAAATATTAGCTCTTGCCACACGTGACAAGAAACCGCCGCAGAAAACCTGAGGGTGTCAAGGCGGATATATCCATGGTGCACACTCAACCAAAATGCACTTTGAGATGGACTTCTACTGATTTCATAATGCGGCAGGATGGAAAGATTAATATATGAAAAGATCATTCTGTATCAAGAAAAGACAGTCAAGAAATTTCTGGATTGTCTCCGCCTGCGTCCCATGCACGTTGAATTCGCCCAACAGCACATCACATCATTATTCCTAGCCGGTTCGATACAACAATCTACTTTGATCGAAATCCTTTCGATCTGCAATCGTGTCACTTGCCTTTTTCTAGTGCTTTCGACACGAGACTTCTCTATAGATGGACCATCTGCACCTGTGTGGCGTGCCCTAGACGCCCTCCCACTCAAGTCGCTAGTGCTCGCCGTCAACGCGAACTTCACATCGTCAGCCAGCACATTAAATGTGTTCCAAAATCTGACCCATCTCGAGATCAGCGATGATCGCATGCTCGACAGACCGAATGCAGCATTAGAGGGCCTTAGTGCGTTGACGCACCTCTGTGTGGCGCTCCTATTGGGCAGATCTAATCCATTGGCGGTGATTCGCCTCATTGGTAATGCACGCCTACGATTGCTGGTGTTTCGCGTGATAGCTTCGCACCGTAGGGTATGGTTGTTCCTGGACAACCATGAAATCTTCGATCATCGGATTGTTTTGTTGCCCATTACTCTGACAAACTGGGCTCAGCTAGGTCATGGCGACATGTTGGTTTGGGAGTTGGCGGAAGAGCTGGTGAATCTTCCAATCGATCAGAATAGTGAGTCTGTCACTTCAAATATGAGCAGCGTATCAGCCTGAGAGAATCACACAGAAGGTCATCGGTGCCTGTCACAGATACAACTCGTAAACGTGTACGCCGATTATAACGACGTTGACAGGGACGATGAATATGAAGGTCATCGGTGCCTGTCACAGAGACAACTCGAAAAGTTGCACCCCGAGTATATCGACGTTGACATGGACGATGAATAGCCAGGGATCCTCACATTCATCCTTAGGTACAGATATTTCTTACTGAGTTCCGCTTGGTTGAACTTCACTCTCATACTGCAGGTCGGAGAATGTACCCTGATGATGTTTGAGGGAATTTCTTGAGGTGACTGGTTGATTGGCTAATCTGGCGAGGAATTTTGGTTGGAAAACTGCCCTATCAGATAATGTTTGGATACGTTATGGATGGGTCATGGAAATGAAACGTCACACGCATCTCCGATATCGATGCAGGTCTAGATGTGTGATCCAACATTCGCGCAGTACACGGCTAGCTATAAAACCTTCAGTTGTGCTTTTACGACTATATGGAAGGCACTCACGGTGGACCGGCCTGCACTGCTCTCTCTAGAGGAGGAACAAGGATTTTTTTCCGAGTCCTCTGCTAATCCGCAACACCTCACTGCACCTGCTTTGCTCTGGCTTGATCTTCCTAGGTTTTGTTCGATGCCACGCTCCAATGGGAACATAAGCATCGTGGAGCAGCAGCAGGTCCAGGACTTGATTGTTCCATGTGTCACACTTCATGACCGGAAAAATAGTACTTGTCCAGTGAGACAACATGAAAATACCAACATCCGTATCGTATAATGCATGGCCCCCTGAATGTGTGATAACTAAAGTAGACCATCAAGCAGTGTAATTAAACACGATCCATCACGTGTCCTCCCTGAACCGTGCCAAATGCCCCCATAACAAGTCCCTATCTACAGGCTCGCCCGCGATGTCCTGTCTGTCTCTGAAGAGTGTCGTGGAGATGCTTCCAATGTTTTTGATTCCAAGAAACGTCACGATGTTGCGGCAGATGTCTTCGGCGAGAAAAGCAGTTTCCGAGGGTTGGATCTTACGGGTTTGAACATCAGCTGCGATGTAGTCCTGGCATTTGATGACCATGAGACAAAGACTCATTAGCGAACGTCGATACAGAGCTGTAATGGTGATGCATCATAGAGAAATGGTTGGATGGACGGTGTCCACTTACGAATTCTTTTCGATAGATGCGGAACAGCGATTGCTATTCTCCTCATCGTCTCTAGGGCGTAAGAGTAGGCGTGTGTTTGATTAGTAAGAAAATCGGCCTTCTTGTGGTCCATGTAGCGGGCCCTCTCCGAAAGATGCATCGATGCGAGGTTGAAGAAGGAGGCCCCCGTTGCAAAGCCTTCCACGGGCGTATAAGCGCCGTGAACCTGACCAGGCGGCTGTATGCTGTAGGTGTATCAGGACAGAGAATAATATCCGCTAATATAGAGTGCACATACACGAGATCTCCGGGACCCAAGTAAACCACTTCAGCATCCCACAACCTGTGTACCTCCTCCTTGTCATCTGGATAGCCCACAAGTTTCATCATCGAATTTGCATAAGCAGTACGGCCACCCTTTTGGGATTTCAGGCGAAAGAAAATCCACATTTTTCCCCCCGACTCGATGCGAATGTATGTTGCAACACCATCGGCATCGTGATGAGCAAACGAGACATACCCAGCCTGATGCAAGAGCGCCCAAAAGTGGGATGTGAAGTTGTCGGGATGTACCGCCTCGCGAATGGGGCACTGTTGTGTCGTCTGACTCCATCCAAAGCGTCGTCCGTGATCGAGATTTCTGACAACCGTCTAAGTTATGTCGAGCGAGTCTTAATGTCTGGCTTGCTCACCTCAAGCGCTCTGGTAGTCCTCCATGTACATATGGCAAGTCCAGAACGCATTGTATCTTTGTTGGGTCATTCATACCTGCGACAAGGGACGAAATTGTTCCTGGCTTGTGAGGATGTGCAGAATCTGCGACACGTGCTTCAGCATCTGATATGATGCGTCGAATGGTGTTTAATGCAATATTTTTGGAAAACTCACCATGAATTGACACAGGCATATCTGGATTTATTCCGAACTTGTGGTCGAGCCAATCTGTTGTCATCTGCGCTGGAGCATTTATTCCGTTCCCTCGAATTACCACGGGTTTGTTGTCACGAAGGGAACATTCAACCGTTTGAATGATGTCGTCACGTTCCATATGAGCAGCAGACAGGTGCAGGACATGCTTCGATGATGGAGTTGACTCTGGGAAAGAGGCGAAAAACTTCACCACTTGAACATCCACGGATTCGCAAATGTTGACACCTTTCTTGATGATCGTAGGCAGGACGGTTATCCTTCCATCCGGCCATTGTACCGTGGCCGATTGTGCAGGAAGCTTCCGTCCAACAACACCCACAGTCAAATCTTTTACACCATTAGCTGTGTAGTCCATCTGCAAGTGTGTCGATGCAATATGGTGAGACTTGGTATTGGGAGCAGCAGCAAGTTCATCTCGTTCAGTGTCGGATGTATCGCTGTCGACCCGCACAAGCCTTGAGACCCGATGCGGGCGTGAGAGTGTTGTGGCGATGACAGGTCCATCACTTTCTTCGTCATCTACATCAATGTCCAACGCAATATCTCTCGACGAACCAACTTGAGGTGGCATTGTGGTGTCCTGAACATGTCCGTCACGGTTCTCTCGTTGTTTAGCGCGTTCCTGCTTTTTTCTGAGTCTATCCTTTAGCCTTATTTCGTTCCGCTTCTCTTCTGAGAGTGATTGGAGCCATTTTCGCCGTCTTACTGTCGCGGACTGGCCACTGTCTTTAACATCCGAGGTTCCCGCTTTGACACCAGCCTTCTTACGAGACGTCAAGCTCGGAGCCATCTGCTCACATATTTAAACATTCCATAAGTATATGGACATTGAACATTTTCCATACTTTACCGTAGCGCACTGGTCTTTATTACGGTTTTCGACGAGACGGGTTTCGACGTGGTTTGAGATTAAGGGCACATCGAACGTTTGAGGTAATTGATTGGTCATGCTGTGATCTTGCTAAATCGAGCAGTGCCACGGTCACATGACACAGCAGGCATTGATCAATATAAGAAACCCGAACATACTTCAAACATCCTTCATACACTAATTAATGTTATGAATGTTATTATTATACATGTTTTATGCTACGTTGGGTCAAAGGACATTGTCGGAAAAGAAAATATTTTCTGAAGGATGTTTGAAGTATGTTCGGGTTTCTTATATTGATCAATGCCTGCTGTGTCATGTGACCGTGGCACTGCTCGATTTAGCAAGATCACAGCATGACCAATCAATTACCTCAAACGTTCGATGTGCCCTTAATCTCAAACCACGTCGAAACCCGTCTCGTCGAAAACCGTAATAAAGACCAGTGCGCTACGGTAAAGTATGGAAAATGTTCAATGTCCATATACTTATGGAATGTTTAAATATGTGAGCAGATGGCTCCGAGCTTGACGTCTCGTAAGAAGGCTGGTGTTTGTAGTTGCATCGTTGAGCGGCTGAGCCATTGAGGTATTTAGGTACCTGAGCTTATGTGAGCGCAGGTGGCTAAATGCACATTCATGTTCATATCCATATTCTCTTCATAACTTTTCTTTCTCCCACCTCTCTATAGATGACGATCCTATGTAACTTGCATTGCCTAATTCCATTTATTTGGACGCTTCTCATATTTTACCCTTTGAGAGTCCATAATTCATTGCATCGTCCAGTGCTTCCCAAAGATGACTGGCAGGGCTGTATTTTCAGTTGACAGGGCCCTTTGACGTTGCCTGGATATCTGTGCGTCTTTAACATGCCATGCTGTCATTTGTCTTAATCATCCATATTTTGCCATACCACTTGTGCGACCGGAACTCCCTCTGCAATGCAGTTCTTTTGAGACGCGCAGACGGTCATGGATTAATTGTGAGAGCCAGCGCTCAGTTAAGGAAAAACTTGTGGTGATGTGACAATTCCACTGAGCCCATTGTCCGGTCGCCATCTGGATACAGATGATGGACACAATTCTTTGCTTGTACTAATTAGCCGAGATACACTGAAGCTCGGTTCAGGTAATTGACGAGAAAGTTAGAATGAGCAGTGTTTAAGATAGGAACAATTTGTTACGGTGTCGTGGATGAAGAATTGTGATGGTGCTCACTTTTCCATCTATGATAACCCAGTTCGTCTGTCACGGTGAAAGAATACGGTAAGATCTCGTCCAATGAACTGGCCTTCATTACTTGCCTGACTCTGCTCTCAGCGATAAATATTCTGTCATGAACTATGGCTCGATGTATAAGAGGATCATGTGCTATCATCAGCCCTCCACTGGTCCAACAATCTTTCGAAATGGAATTGCATAATTGATGCTGTGTTCAACATCCTCCAAGCACTTCAGGAGATAAGCATGGCCAAGAAAAATGAAAAGCATTATCGATATATTGTACATTGTGCCAAAAACGTGGTCTGTTCTCCGCCACAGTATCAAGTTCTCATGGCTGCCTTACATCATCTACATCAATATTATTACCCCGCAATTAGACTGCAGCTCTGCACGATATCTCAGAAGGAAGATGAGACACTGCTGACGGACATTGATATATTACTTGTGCTTGATTGTAGGACACATGGAGTATATTGTAACTCAAATATTACCGATCACTCCTTGCGATTGCTGTGTCTTTCCATTCCTTGCAATATTAATCAGTATTGTTGTGGGGTGTTGTAGTTGCATTCACCAGATGTCGACAAGGACGTGGCTTATATTGGAGGTGAGTTTGGAAGGTAGTTTGTCTTACAAAGATCCTGGTGCAGAACAGCAAATGGGATTCAGTTCACTACATGGGATTATACATCCGAATGTCCTTCACGTCTCAAAAACCTGCATGTCCGAGCTCACCTGACGATCAGTCAACCCGTGACTAAGTAACTAAAATGCGTGGTGCAATTATTTTCGGCAGGGTCGACGGTGTATGTATGAAATGCTGCTAAGCCTCTTTGAAACAAACAAATGTCCAAGTATGGATTTACTATGCTTCCATGCACACCCGAACTGTAACCAAGGATTGAGGGACTAGGCTGCGTCGGATCAAAGGTGTACACCCAGTAGATTAGCAGTGTGCTGCCGAGCCCATGTAAAATACGTAACGCTCCACAATTAGTTTTACTCCAGCAGAGGGCGCAATGCGCCGATCTATTAGCAACCTGTAGTGCCATCCGACATTCACGGGATAGCCGTCGGGTGCCTGCATCATAAACACAATTGCGGCACGCGATATTAATCCAAAGGTTACTGATCACTGCGTTCGATTTGTGCGTCCATCCATTCCTCCATAGATCAAGCAGTATTTTTTGGGGGCGACACAATTTAATTCACGATAGAGAGACACGTACATGTCTTTATGTGAATGTACCCCGAATGAGGTGGCTAGTGTCCCCCTCTCCTCGACCCTGCTGTCTCGCATATGATCACGCAATGAAAAATCTGTGCTCATGGATCAATTCATATGGGATGTCTGGGTCTCCGTCCCTCGGTTCCCAAATGTACTAGCTCATGTTGATGTGTCCTAACATTGTCGTAAATGCTGAAACAGGGACAACAGATTTTATTTTCAATGGCATTCCTTCATTGTCTTATGTCCCTGCCGGACCATGTCCGCGTGGGCGCAATCATATAAACCTTCGAGAGCACGATACATGTACATTCGAAGGATACAGCACAAGATCTTTCACTACACGTCATGTGCTGATTGCAATCAATGTCCGATAACTATAGCTGTCACCATCCGGGATGCGGGAGGGACCCATGTTCCACTAGCGAAATCGCACAGGGGCATGGATACCGGTGCCACTCCGTGGCCATTCAATTCCTGATCGATGGGTGCCAGTACGTCGTCGACCAAACAGATGGTCATTATCCCTGCCCGCTACAAGAGTGTCAAAAACGATTCCAAGAGCGCACGGACACTCGCACTCACATCATTGTGGATCACAATGGGTCTGAGATCATTGACACTCCCGAACTTTGTGAGTCGCATAGGACATTCACCAATCATTGAGTAGGACTGACATACGCACTCCCATCCTCGCTTATGAACCAAGACGACGCAGATGCACCGCATCAGGTTCATGTCCAAGACACCTCTTCCCCTCAGGGGATGGGCTTTATATGTCAGTGTGATCTCATCCGATGTACTCACATTTTCACAAATGGATTAAGGTGCCGGTGATATCTCGCCTCTCATTCTAAACCCAGACGCTTGTCCTCATGGCATCAGAGGCGCAGGTGAGAGTGATACCAAACATGATTTTTCAGGGTACCCCTAAGTGACGGATGTGTGCATCCTGTACAGGCTCGACTGGTGCTATGGAGCCCAGGACTGTGTCACTGTCGCCATCAGTAGATTATTTAAAATCCAACGAGATTCTTGATCAACTAGGCGTTTGCATGCACAGCGTTCTAAAGGTGCTCCTATGCTACTCCTGCCGGGTGGCATTGACATCCACTATGGTGGCGGGACACAGGAAAAACCACCATCATTCATACGAGGCACGTCCATCAATTGTACGGTGTATCTTGACCTTGAAATACGCATTCCACATACCTAGGTGCCTACAGCCATCATGCAATCCTTCATGGACTTTTGTAGGGAGGAAAAAATCTATGAGAAGGTAGAGGATGTGAAGCTACCGACCGCGGGAGGTCTGCCTATACAACTCGTCGAGGATCCAAGCGACGGGCTTGCATGTACAGAATCAGCCGACTGCACGCATGCTGTACGGGATCTAGCGACCATGCATCGACATGGTCGAGAGAAGCACAACACTACCAGTTTCGTGGACATCCAGTATCGATCCTGCCAGGTCCAACAAATCTTCACGGTGTTGCATAATTCCTACTTCGAGGTCTGCCAGGACGTTATTAGAGGCGTCAGACCTGACATAAGGGCCACCCTTGAAGCTACATTCCTACCTCAAAATGATGTTGCATTGATCGGTCCAACAGAGACTGAACAATGGAGGACGCCACTTGTGCACTTTATGGATTGGGACAAGTTCCAGGTAGAACTATGGATGAATCCAATCCAGAGACTAGCAGCAGATGACATCAAGAAACGTCATACCAGTGAAGAATCTGGTGGGATACTGACACGTCTCGCTGCTACCGTCCGAGACCACATGACGAGGGCATCGACAATCTTGGATGGCCATCCTCATAGGTTAAGCTTATCAAAACTCCTGTTGTATGGTAATTCCATACCGCGAGAGACGTGAGTAATTAACAATAAACAAATAACGTCCGAATTCATTAATACCGGTGCGCCCAGCGACAGTTATTGGAGGCCCGTGTCAGATGACAACGTCGACTATCCAAACTTCATGGTTCAGCTTATGAGAGCAATCGTTCGAATTCACCTCGGATCCCCACTCGAGTTCTCATTCGCGCTGTCCACCGTGCAGACGACGTGTCTCGAAGAGCTTTTGGTTGTCCTCCGCAACGACAACACCTCTCCCCGCAGGCGGATGATCGCCTATCATAATCTGGCGTGGTCTTTGGTCGATACCGACCCGGATCTGTGCGTGGTCGATCGATGGGCAAACCCAATCAAGCGAGCCATCTGGCTCAGGGCGCTGCGTGCGGACGGAAACTTCTGTGAAGCATCCTTCCTTACCCCAGACCTCGCAAAGTTAAAATACTTTTGCAACATCACCTCGCTTCTGGAAGCACTGATGGACAAAGATGAGGATGCCGACGCGGTGCATTTCGACGATCATGAGTGAGCGTGCTTTCACATACATTCGCTTACACTCGTTGATGGATCGTTGCGTTTGAAGCCGCGTCATTCGCATTCACGAGCGGGTTCTACGCCTCGGTCGTACCACGACGTTTAACATAGTGTATGAGATGCAGCAGTATGCATCGTCTGTGGTATTCAATCAAACGAGAGAGCCAAACGTCTATGTCGATCCCGACGTGAAATCCATCACCATCGGCACCAACACCATGCATATGGACATGCTTCGGGATGGCATACAAAGGCTTCTCCTGGAGTTGAAATCGCGCTATTCCGCCCTCACCAATGACAATGTCGTGTTGAAGGAGGTTCCAGAGCAGGTCAAGGACGACCTCACAAATTCGACGCGTGGTTATTCGCTCGCGTCGGAGGAGCCCTTTTACAAGAAGCGCCATGCCTTGTTCTTGTATCTGGTAGATCACTACGACCTTGCAATGGTCGACAACGCAGGACGAGTCGCATGGAACATCCCCGGAATAAAGGAGCTTCTCAGACGCTCATTCCGGGTCTGGGAGCCTCTTTATCATTTGCTTTACATCACCACACACATCTCCTGTCGCGGCACACAGTTCATCGACCACAAAGTGAGCAATGCGGACAGGCATCGCAACCTGTTCATGCAGGGCAACGAGATGTTCCTGCTGACGGGCTACAGCAAAAAGACCGGCATCACCGATCGCGACTCATGCACTCCTGGGTTCGTGCCGAAGGAGGTCGCCTTTTGGGCCCTCGAACTTCTTGCAGGGGGGTTACGCACTGCTGAAGCCATACTTGCTGGGGTTGCATTTGGCCCGCAGGCTGAACATGTATACAGAACGTGAGCACCGTCCTGAACTATGTACACCACCGAACATCATTCTTACAACCGCATGCTATTTCAGCTATCTATGCGTCGGTGAGGGAGAGCGGATTAGTCCCACGATGTTTTCCGCCAACATCCAGCAGTGGAACAACGAATATTTCCAATGTCGATGGGGAGTGAGAGATTTCCGGCAAGGCGCGATCACCATGGGTCGCGAATTCATCGCCACAGACGACTCAAGTGATGACGCTGACAACATCCTCGCAGAGTCTCCTGATCACGACACTGCCATGGACCATAGCTTCCATTCTGTCGTCCATGGATTGGTCCCTCGACTGTCCAACAATATCATGTGCAAGCACAGATGGCTGGGGGATCAGTGGCACAGCGTTCTTGGTCTCGGTCCATTTCCTCCTCCTGAAGCGGTTAGACTCAGTCGTAAGCAACTGGCCAATGGAACATTCCTTCAGTCCATATCGGACCAGGTGAAGAAAGCCACGGAGGAGACTCTCAAATCCTTTTTTTCTGGTCAGTACACGGAGATACTGAAGGACGCTGTCTGTGCCGCGATAATACAACAGAACAAGGATGAACGAGATGCTCGCCCGATGCGACGGATGCCTGAATCTCTGCTCTGTAGTAGCTGGGCCGCGCAAAGCTCTATGTCCAGTGGTTGTCTGGATAACGTATTCCAAGATCAGAATGATGGTTAGTACCAGCATTGTTTGTGTCTATGCCATCACCATATTTTATTGCGCAGGTAATCCATCTGCACTTTCCCCATCGCATGGCCCGAGTAGGTACATTCATGACAGAAGTGAGTATTAGCCTCCTAGTGTCCAATACCTCACCAAATGTAATGTTGTAGATGTGGCTGCCGCAGGGATGTTGTGCGCGAATTCTAGCAGCCATATTTCACGCGGAAATATGGTGATGGACTCCCCACTTCCAGCGTCATCAATCCAAACCATCTCGCACACTGAATCAATGGACGAATCGATATTATTTGGTGATATCGTTCGAACCAGCGATCAAGGCGAATTAACCCCCCGGACCAGATCGCAAGGGGAAGGGTAGAGCCTATGGACCTGGCCAGCGGAAATCATCGAAAGCCAATGTGGCTTACTCCACAAGGAACCGCATGGCTGATAGCGACATGATCCACGAGTCTCCTAGCTTATCCCCCATCGCAGTCCGCCCGGACAACCGTAGGGTGTTTGAGCTCAGCCAACGTCGGAAGTACAACCGTAAGGTTGATGCGTCTGGACCGAATGGTAGTTCCGCGAGCATTGTATCATCAAGCATATCCCCAATCGCAGACCGCAAGGCAAAGTGTAGGACATTTGAGCCATGCAATCCTCGACTCTTCCAAGCTGCAGTCAATACTTCAAAAAGGAGGGACGCGGTTCATAGTGTCTCACATGACGAGGACTCGGTAACGTATACGTCCCGTTCAGCTGCAGTCGCATCCACTGTATACCGGTCCCGCAAGCGTCAAATACGGGATGTGAGCGAGGCAGACACTGGAGATGACACATGCAGGCGTCCCAAACGTTTTCGTAGTCATGGTGACGCAGATCCGAACTTGGTCATGGAGGTCATCAGCCTCTCAAGTGACGATGACCTGTCATGTCTCGAAGAGAACCAGTCGCTCAAATCACTGCGTCAGCCTGTCACTTCGATTGAAAAGACGTCCCAGGAGGATCTGAGCGTCTCTAGCGCCGACGACCTGTCAGGTGTCGATAATAACATCCCACTACAACGTCTGCGTCAGCCAATTAAACAGGTGGCCACAGAGGTTATAAACGTCCAGAGCGAGGACGACATGTCAAGCGTTTACGAGAACCAGCCACTGAAACGTCTTCGTAGGACCAGAACTTCCGTTAAGAACGTGTACGTGGATGTTACCAGGCCATCCAGCAACGACAGCATGTCGAATTTTATAGTTGATGATGGCAGTCGACCATCCTCACCCCCAAGTGCCGTGCGAGACATCAGAGAGGAGATTCGACGCGCGATCAGACACATCAGGAGGGATGACACCGCGAGGGAAAAGAGCTCTGCGCAGATGAACGTCCTGATTGCCGTCATGACTGCAGCTACAGACCTCGTCGTCACGATGAAGACAGGAGGCGGAAAAAGCATGTCGTGGATGGTCCCATCTGTAATGGACGAGGAATCGAGATCTATTGTGGTGTGCCCCTTCGTCGCCTTGCTCGAAGAGCAGTACAAGAACACCGCTGCAAGTGGACTGCGGTGTCACAACTACTGTATCTCAAAGACGGTGCCAGAAGACGTTCAGATTCTATTCGTGCAGGTGGAACATTGCTCGTCTATCGCGTTTGCTAAGTAAGGGAACTCGTATATCACCTGGAAATAACTCACCTTCCATCGATAGTCTACTAGTGTCTGCACTGGGGCAGAAGTTTAACAGGTTCTTCGTCGACGAATTTCATGATATCTCGACCAGTCATCCAGGCCGCATTGTTCCATGGAAACAACTTGCGCAGCAATTCGGCAAGATGCGAATCATGATTATCCTTATGACAGCGACCGGACCACCCTGCCGTATTGCGAGCTTCATCAAGCCGTTTGGCATGAAGCGAAACCTTATCACCGAAGTCCGGTCATCAACAAACCGTCCAGAGATCGGAATGCACGTCGTGCACCTCCAGCCCATCGCAGCAATGCAGTCCCTACGCCATCTCGTTGCCGCTCTATCCAAACGTCTGGCTGCGGAGGAACGCATCCTGGTGTTCTGCAATTCTCAGGGTGATGCAGAAGGGTTCTCACTGCAGGCCAAATGTGCCGTCTACCACAGCGACCTCTGGCAGGCTGGAAACACAAAGGCCTATAACCTGAATTTGTGGGATGAAGGGGAGACAAAGGTCATGGCGTGTACAACAGCCTTTGCACAGGGTATGGACAGGCCGCACGTGCGATATGTGGTGATATTCAAGCCGTCATTTGGGCTTATTGTTAACAACCAAATGCTGGGTCGCGCGGGTCGCGATGGGAAGGAGTCTCACGTGTTCTTCTTACTGACCAGGGTAAAATGACGTTCAGGTGCCCATCGAGCGACCAGTGTGTGTGGGAGTTGGACGAGCTAGTACACGGAACACGGTGCAGGCGCTTTACCAACATGCTGTGTTTGGATGGTGACAACCTCGCCGTCAGATGCACTGACGACCCTCAAGGGATCTATTGCGACGTGTGTGATCCACACAGCGTCATGCAACGACTAGCCATGGAATCAATCGAAAATCCCTTTAGGCCACTTGGGATGCCCGAGGGCGCAGGTCTGCCAATGATGACTAGTAATCCCTTGCTTCGAGGACGGATTCAAGCTTCACATCAAATGTACGCGGAATTTGTGCCAGCATCCGCACTGCTTCATCCAGAGATCACGGTAAGTCTTGTCATCGTCCCCATTATCGCATCCACCGTTCATACGTCAATGTCATAGGCCCCGATTCCCTCCCAGCCGAAATCCCCGTCCAGCGATGATCTGTACGACCACGGTTCATCAGAGCTCATGTCATCTGAAGTTCTCATGCTGGATTCCATGGAGGACAAACAAGTGTCTGTGAGTGGCTCCGGAGTCACGCAAGCTACACAGAACATTCCCATAGAGTGTGCTCCAGCTTCCCCACTGCTTCAATCTGTGAGTCTTGATATCATGCTAATTCTCAAGCTCTGTCCCCAAACGTTAGATCCACAGATGGCCATGCCAGACCAGCTGCAGACCCAGTCAAGCGATGCTCTGTACGATCAAGGTACATCAGATCTTACATCATTTGAAGCACTGATGCTCGATGCCATGGAGAAATTACACGCTCCGGTGGGTGCACCGCACCTCTGATATCATCCTGACGCTGATACCGAACGTTGCCAAGCGGACCACTGGCTTGTCGAGTGGCCACTACGCTGTATGACTCTGCATTGCTGCCATGTAACTATACTGATTGGGTTCGACAGACCACCTCGCAGCCATCTGCGATCAGCTCCTCATTTGTGCGACTTATGCCTCCTTCTTCACTTCCAAGCGATTCTCGCACTTTCTCTGCAAAGGCTAGTCGGGTTGACAACGGACTCCTCAGCCGTCTTTCCCGCAGCTCACGGCTGGACAAGTTCATGCGTGTCCTGAGAGACAAGTGCCCAGTACACTTTGGTAACGTTGCCGTGCTTGTTCCGGAAGCCAATCACAGGTGCACCGTGGAGGGCAGCGTCCCGATGCATCTCTATAGGGAATTCAAACTCAGTTTCTCGTTCGAACGTTACTCGTATTGCTTTCAATGTTGCTTGCCACAATCTCAAAACGGAAACGGAGAGGAACCAGCATGTCATGCTGGCTTTTCGTACAAGCCAGGTGATAAATGTCCATTCGCTGGCTTTATTTTCAAGGCGGTCTTCTCCATGTGGCACAGGGAAGGCTTCCGTAAGTTAATGATTCAGGACATCGGTTCAGGAGAGCTGCTCGCGACCTACCCTCAGTTCTTGACTTGGATAGTACAAGAATCCTCCGATGAAGGCAAATACATCAATCTCATAGAGGTATTCCTGTGGTTCTGCAGCGAGCTGGAGAAAGCCAAGCCCAAATTCTTTGCTTGATCGAGGAGGATGAGCAACGATCTACATGTCAGTCTCACTGTCTTCATCTGTTTTCCTTTCGTCTCATCCAGCGGCACGCGTTCATAGGACGTTTTTCTGATTGTACTAGACTCAGACATACATGTCTGGAAATTTTCGATGCTATATTACTACTATCAGCATTCCACGTAATCGTTAATCATTGTGGATTGTAATCTGACTACCGTCTTGTCATCCTACACCTTGCCGTCGCCTAGATGTATGCTATTCAATGTTCACTCTGCGTCGCAGAACAGATTTAATATTCTTGCCGGTATACGTCCTATGATCATATTTGATGCATGTCTTGGAACATTACAGATTCTGCAAGCTACAATAAATGAGA